CATGGAATATCTGCATCAGGATATTTAAATACCAATACATATCGGTACTCGACAGTTGTAACTGTCATATCGAAATTTTTAAGAGCTTTCTTAGACAACTGTAAGCTGTAAACAACATCAGAGGTCTTCCATGACCCATTATGTTCTTTTAAAGTTATATTCATGTATGATGCTGCCTCTTCTATGAGTTCAGCATGTCCTGACTTACTCTTTTCCTCTTGTCCAGGCTACAAACGACATCATACCATTAACTTTTCGTTTTGATGCAAAAATATTTGAGACCAAAAAAAATTATTAATAAGACACATTCGTTACCTCAAAATCGACTGTTACTGTCACACCTTTTAAATGTTTTCTCCTCTGATACAAGTTTTGATTGGTATTGACTACCAATCCAGTTTCTTCTTTCCACTCGAGGAATACTGGTGTATGCAATTTAGTACTTGGTTCTGTAGCATACCATTCCCTTATCATTTGATCTCCACCACACTTGACCAGCACCTGACTGGCATAGTTGAGTTTCAAAAGATTCTCTTTTAGGCTGTGACAGACGTTCTGCATTTCCTGAGTGAATAGCAGCAGCCACACATGAAAAGACATATCCTTCTCTTTCGTGAAGCCAACAAATTTTTCCAAGTCATCGTTGGAATACAAAAGGACAGCAAATAGTGTTTGCATATCAGCTTTTATTATTGGAATTTTTACTGGCAACTCTGAAACTTCTACGGCAACCGAAGAGTGTAATGAGCGAGAAAGTTTCCTCACCATTTCCATGACAAAGTGCTCATCTGATAAAGTGCAAGAGAAATTTTTGATTGAAAAAAAAANAAAAAAAAAAAAAAAAAAAAAAAAAGGGAACAAGGAAAAACAGCTAAACCTGTACCTGTACGCGGTTGTAAGTGTCGGTGAGCTCGGCGAGGCTGCTCACCCTGCAAACGACGGCTCCAACGACGCGTCCAGATCTTTCGCTGACAGCCACCAAACTGCACGTGTCCTTCATCCAGCCTCTCACGAGATCGATGTACTCTTTCGTCGACTGGAAATCCTCAAGAATCTGGATGGACTGGCACATTGGCTCCTCGCCGAGCCAGTGGTGCTTTTTTTGCCCATTTTTTTACAATTTATAACAAATCTTTAGCTAATAACAGATAGTTTTTTTCATTGGCTGGCAGATGAGATAATATATATATATTTTTTTTTTTTCGATGAAAATAATCTTACACGATCGCGTGCATTGGTATAATACTATATTATAGGCTCTGGTTTGTTGTATTTAACGCGCGTATACCTTAATTAGAGTGATGGCATTTTCATAATGAACCTCGCAAAGATCTTGAATGCGGAATTTCGGTTGCACGTCCCATGTGATTGGAGCTGTGATTTTGGCTATGGAGGCAACGGCCATAGTAATTACAGGTGATTTTTTTTATTTATTTTTTTTTTTTTTTTTCATTAAGGTTGGTTTTACTTGTAAAATTTTATTGTTTTCCCTAGTGCCAAAATTGAAATTCTAACCAAAAGGAAGTGGTGGATTTTTGTACTGACCAAAATGACGATCGTGTGGTCTACATATACAATGATCAATCACATGATTAACTGACTTTCTTTCTGATATAATCGCTTTGTCGAGAAAAATTACCTTCTCAATCAAAGCAGTATTTTACGATAAATTTTTGAAAAAAGTCCCCTGAAATTTATTAAAAATAAAAAGGAGCCTACATGTCCCATAATTACGTTACCATAGAATCAATTCGTGCAAAAAATTTTTATTGTGCGTGCACTGTTTCTACTAATGATGAGTAGTGTACTTTTCGTAAGACAGTAATTTTGTTTGGAAATGGTAAATTCAATGGTTTAACGCTGTCTATATCGTGGACGACGTGATTGACACAACTTAATAAAGAATGAAGAAGTCGAGGTTAATAATATATGTAACATTAAAGTGTTTACCACATGTATAGTTCAAAGTCGCTCATCTCTGGCTATAGGCTTTTCATTACGATGTAACTAAGTGACACAAGATTACTTTTTATACCAAAAAATATTGTCAACTACAAAAATTCATTTAATAAAAGTATTTAAACTTTTTTTTTCTCGATTCGATATTAAATTTTTTTTTTTGATCGATTGTTTTCCAACAACTTGATTGTAATCAACAGATTGTATTAGAGTTGAGAGCCCAATTTTATACTTACGTACATTACGATATTTACAATTAACTGCATGTAAAAACCATTTTCATTTTGACATGTATTATAAGTACTGCGTGAGCCATGTATTAAGCAAGTAAAAGTATATATTTGAGATATTTTTCCGCAATGCAGCTGTCGATCGGTAGGGTAGAAAACTAGCGAATGGTCGCACATTATGACTACAGTCGGTATTACAGAAAACTTTAAAACTAAATGTATCATCAACTGCAGTAGTATGACTGTCATGACCGACAGAAGGTATTTTTCTTGTTGGCGCATAATTTAAAATAAATCGAATGATACACAATCATTTATTTGTGTAATTACAGAAAGAGTCATCAATAATTATATTAAATATGCTTACTTCGTAAGTTATCAAAAAACTTACTTTAAAAACAAGAAAGCTATAATTAATTAATACTTAATGTAGTAAATAAGTTTACATACGATATCGTGTTACAGTGTAGGTTATATAGTATTTTTTGGTTAGACACTAGAAACATTCAAAATCAAGTTATCAAGTTATAATTGTATTTAATCCTTGATCTCCAAAAATTTTGTTGCATTAAAATTATTAGCTGTTAATAAAATTTGAGAAGAATGAAGTTCCTGGACTTGAATACTGATGTGTTAGCTGTAAAATGTGTAAAAAATTACATTTTCATAGGTTTGTCCCAGTTGTAAATGATTTTTAACAGTTTTATTATTTTTTATTAAGTAATTATTAATCGTAATAATGTTTTTCTTTACCAGGGATTGGCTGTTTTCTTTATTTGTTCGACAGGATAAGTTACAAAATAAAAATAAAAATAAACGCTCTGCATCCGGACAATATCCATGGTATTGTTTCCAAATCAAATGATAAACTTATGGTTTATGGAGGAAAAAGTTTATGCATATTTCAGTATGAAATAAACTATGATTCCATAAGGTAATTCTTTAAATGCATAAAGGCTCTTGTTTTAATATGATCTATTTTGTTGACTCATTTACATATTCCAGTGTGAGAAAGTTGTGTGAAATAAGTAGATTTAGTGACTGGATCATTAGTGCTGAATGGTTGGGATCAGCAAGTGACGCTCATGTATTGACAGTTTTGTTTGCCCACAACAATATTTACAACTATGATTTTATTACAAAGGAGTACAGTAGCAGATCCTGCAAGGAAGCATGCCTCTTGTATCCTTTTACAATAAAAACACAATAATTTTTCAAAAATGGGGACTTTCTTTACATATTTTAATCATGGATCAGATATGCTGGAGCTATATCTGGTCAAAGCTGTGATAATGCAATTATTTTGAGTGGGACTGTGTTCCAAGAAATACTGATATGGAAGGTAGACAGTAAAAGTAGTCAAATCTCAGAGGTCTTGCATCGTTTAAAGGGTCACAAGGTTCTAATTTACTGAGCATACATTATTTATTGTACATCAATGTAGTTGGAACATTTATTCCATTTATTTTGTAATTCCAGGGAGTTTTATTTTCAGTTGTACACAATCCCCTAAACAATATTATATGTTCCACGTCTGATGATAGGACTGTCAGATTATGGAAAATATCAAATGAAATTCTTGAAAATGGAGCAGTCGCCAATTGGGAAGATGTTGAAATATCTCTTCAAACAACAATGTTTGGTCACTTGGCAAGAGTCTGGAAAGCTGTAATTTTTAAAAATATTATAGCCAGCATAGGAGAAGTATGATTTCAAAAATATAAAAACATACCAAAATAATTTGTTTAAAATCATTTCCCTACATTTTTAGGATTCAAGAATATGTTTTTGGAATTTTTCGGGAAATCTGTTACATAAAATAGAGGCCCATCAAGGGGCACCAATATGGTGTATTGATATTTCCGATGATGACATTATATATACAGGTGGTGCAGATGGATTTGTAAACTCTTGGCCCTTGTCCAGGATTTATAATAATATTTTCAAATGTATTATGATAGACAATAATACAGACGTAGTTCCTAAGTTTGTAACTTATGTTGACAATGGTGATATCTTAGTATATGCCAATTTAAAAATAAACAACGGACTGTTGCATTTTTCTGAAAAAGAACGACAGCTCGTGCGTATGTACGATTTGCCTGAATTTTCTTCAAGCTACTGTGTAATGGAGTTATCTTTAGATAAACGGTCCTTAGCGTTTGCCTCAATTCAAGGGAGTGTGACTCTATACTCAAGTAAAGTATTAGTTTCACTATTACCAATTACGTTTTTTCACGGTTTTTAACGTTTTAATATTTTTTAGAAGTTGAAAACATTTGGGGAAAAACAAACACATACAAAATCACAAACTCCAAAATATTTTCTCTGCAATGGCTAAATGCCGATACGATTCTCATTTCATTAGCTGATGGACTTTTATACGTCGTTCAATTTTCAACAGAAAGTAAGAGAATTAAGTTTGTGCTTTTACTTAAAATAGTTTGAGATAAAATCATTTTCATAAGGATGTAACTTACAGAGGCTAAAATTCTTTCTGAGCACACACTACCCTCTAGTCGTGAACGGTGGGTGACATCAGCATGTGAATACAAAAATATTCTAGTTTGTGGAGACAGGATGGGTAATATATTTGTTTATAAAAAATCACATTCAAAGAATGACTTATGCTTGGAGCAAAAGAGTCCAATTCAATATTACAAGAAAATACATGGCAGACTCGGGGTTCAGTCATGTACAATAATTAATTCTAGTCTCATTACTACTGGCCGTGATGGGACACTTAAATTTTATAAATTATTGCTTTCTCCTAGTAATAATCTAGTTGTTGAATTTTTGTATTCAAAAAGTATGCCTATGGATTGGGTGAGCAAACCGTTGATCCATGGAAACAATTATTATGTTTTAGGATTTAAGGAGGTATAGATAATTTATGATTTTTTGAATGCGAATTTCATACGAATTATAAACCATCACCTATTCGTTATTCTTATTTAGGAGGATTTTGTGATATTTAACGTGACTTTTAATCGAATCTTTGTTAAAATTCCTTGTGGTGGAGGTCACAGGTCTTGGGACTGCGTGATGAATGATAAATTTGTCAAATTTGTGTACATACAAAAAAAACAAGTCCACGTCGTTGAAGTTCCTGTTGATGTAATGTTCGTTCCACCCATACTGGTTTGTACTGCAATTAGTTGATTGACTATTACGTTTCTCTCTGGACACTCACTTCTTATTTTGTTTTATTTTAAACTTCCATTTGTTCACAAGGAATTTGCAATAATTTCAGACCGGCATTCACACCAAAGAAATATACTGTATGAAAGTTTTGCCAACTCCATTGAAAACTATAAGTGTATTACTCTCTGGTGGAGAAGACTGTACTCTTCATGTGAGTTACGTGAATCATGAAACCTCCGAGAGTGAAATAAACCTTAAGAACATACAAATTCTAGATGGACATTTATCAAGCATCAGGTGCATGTCTATCCTTGAGTTAACAATCAATGAAAACTCGAGCAAACATTTAGTATTTTCTGGAGGAGGTAGAGCTCAGCTCAAGATCTGGGAGGTGGCTGTAAAAACCAATAAAGACGGCTTCTCAAAAGAAGATGTATCTTGCAAGGATTTGTTGTCTCACATGCTTCATGGGCCTGATAAGGAAAGAAATAAAATTCGGATCGGAAAAGAGCTCATGTACAACGCTGATCCAGAAACTCGTTTGATGGATATCAGTTCGATGAAAAATCCTGAAGATGGTGATAGTATTTTAGTTTTTGTTGCCTGCTCAGATGGTTACCTGAGGTAAGATTCTTTATTTTACAATAACAAACCTCATGTGAACTCTTCCAAAAATGATTTGAAGTTTTGTCATTTTCAGAGCTTTTCGTTACGATATTAATTTAAATGAATTAAAACTGATCCATGAATTTTCGTACAAAAATAGATGCATATTAAAAGTACACTCGTTTGTTTATGAAACTAAAGTGTTCATCATAACTTTAGCAACTGACGGACAGTTGAACTTTTGGATCTTTGAAATGTCAAACAATACAGTACAAATACAACAAATAGCTACGAATGAACGAGACAGTGTAAAATTGCACGAGTCAGGAATCAACAGTTTTGACATGAAATGTTTAAACAGCAGTGTATATCTGCTGTCAACTGGTGGAGATGACAATTGCCTTAATTTGCTAACATTTACTATTAAATTGAAAGAAAATGTACCATCAGTTCAAATAGTTTCTTCCTGGCACACTGCTTCGACTCATTATGCTCAAATAACAGGCAAGCATCTATCAATTGTTTTATTTTCCTAGTTGACTCTTGAAACATTGTATAACATACAAAAAAAAAAAAATCTTTCGTAGGGATCAAGATGTTAGATGATGGTAAACTGTACAGCGTTGGGGCAGATCAAAAACTTGTTGTGCACAAATATTCGTGTGATAAATCAAAGGTACAAGTAGAGTTTTTAGAGGAACACACTTTGAGCATACCAGACATACAGGGCATTACTTTTTGTGAAAGTCAAAAGTACGTTTTGCATCTTCACCTCACAATTACGATGAAAACACATATTCTGATTGCAGCAATTTATTGTTTCAGATCAATCACCAATCTTTTTTGTATTTTTGGAAAAGGATTCCAGTTACTGAAAAATTAATTGTTCTCTAGCCAATCATTACAGATATTGTAAATAGACTTCTATTTTTATTAAATATTTGTAGTTAATAAAATGTTTTTACACGTGTAATTGCGAGTTCGACCTTCCCAAACATTTAAATTCAAGTGCCTTGTGGTGCGCTCATATGCTCCATTTATCGTCGTCTGCTCCGAAGTCGGCGTATATGTCAAAAAAAAAAAGATGGCGTTTATGTGACACATGCATCGTTTGTGTGTGTTCCAAATACTTCAGACGCAGTCCCCAGAATTAAACAATAGTTCATAAAAATGTCAAGTATTACGATATCGGCAATTCGGCCTCGAACTAGTATACTTGACAAGTCACTGAGCAAAGGCAAGGGAGAAGTGAGCCTCAGCTGCTATGCCCTCCTTTTTTCTGAACTGGTTCAGTACTGTCAAAACAGAGTTTACACCGTACCTGAACTGCAAAACAAGTAAACTCGCTCAACCAAAATGTGTAAGTACTCGTTTGTGTTTGATTAAAAGAGACTATCTTTTTTTTTGTCCCAAGATTATCCGAAATGGGAGCCGAAGTGGGCCACAGGGTGACTGATTTGTTGGTGGTCAGAGAAAAGGGGAGCAAACGCGAGATAAAACTCCTCAACATTTTATTGTTTATCAAGAGCACACTGTGGAAATCTCTGTTTGGCCGTGAAGCGGATAAGCTTGAGCACGCAAATGATGACGAGAGAACGTACTACATCATCGAAAAAGAGTCATTGGTTAATAAGTACATCTCGGTGCCCAAGGACAAAGGAAGCTTGAACTGTGCATCTTTTGTTGCTGGGATCATTGAAGCTGTATTGTGTGATTGTGGATTTGTATGTACATTTGAATCTTTGGTAGTGCGTTGTTAATACATTTACTTGATATTTAATGACGAAATTGGTTTCAGCCTGCAAAAGTTACTGCTCATTGGCATAAAGGGACAACATACATGGTCAAATTTGACGATACTGTGATCGCACGGGATAAGCAACTTGAAGATAGATAATAAGTAAACTTAAATACAATGACAAAGTTTATAGATAAATATTACTTATTGTTAGTCTTATTTTAAGTTAATTCCATGATTGATTGAAAGTATGAAAAATCACGTTATATAAGTGTTACATAAAGTGTAAATAATTGTTTGAATAACGATTTCATTTATATTTTTTCATACATCCTTTGAGACAGATTACTATGTACTGTACTTTTTTTTATTGCTAATAAATTCAACTTGAGAAGTTACTTTCTTAGAAGTTATCATGCATATCTTAAAGTATTATGTATATTTTATTTAGTAAAGCAATAAAAATTACATTTGAATAATATCGTTCCAATATTTATTGTACACCATCTACATTTGTTTTAATTTCTTAATAATCAAAATTGAATTCTTAGGCAAATTTAAATTCTCTGTCTCTGTAACTTATCTGGCCAGTTCTGTACAAATGTTCTTTGCGGTCCTGCAAATCAAAGTTTTTCAATTTAAATTTCACAATTTTTATTGGAGGTTGTACAAGAAACTAACTTTTAAAAACAACTTATTCTATCATTTCGTATTAACTTAAAAACTGCGTAAAATGCAAGTATTCCTGCTGCGATTTTTAAAAAGTGATTTGGTTTTGGCTTATAAAGGGAATCTTTTCCCATGATTGTTGCATACTGCCGGAATATTTGTTCATCAAACTAGAAAATAAACAACAGGTAAGTAATAGTCTTTGGTGCAATTAGCAAAAACTTGATCAAGTACAGCTTTCAACACATCATCATGCACATTATAATAGTTAAAACAACAATACTCAGATACTTGTTAAAATTAAAATGCTAGTAGTATTGTTTACATATTATTCAGAGAAACTTGATAAATACTGAATTTACTACTTGAATAGGCCAAGAAAAAAGCATAGACTTGAAAATGAAATTATTTAAGTAGCCATGGCATGCTAATCATGTCAGCGGAACCAAAAGAGAACTATCAAACTGACAGAAATTATGAAAAACTAGCAACTGTACGATTGTTTTTCTACGAGAAAATGCAAGCAACAGAAACAGATCAAAGGGTAGATAAAGTAAACACAAGAGGTTACATCGCAATGGAAAAACTTACAATATGACCGTCAGGTCCACTATTAGGATTGTGGATCTCCTTGAGGTATTGGTTTCTCAGTACCAGGCGTCTTTCAGCTCTCCATTTCATTATTTCGGCCTGTTCGGCGTTAACATCGTGTATATCAGATCCTCTGTGCGTCATTTTTACAAATGTTGGATGTTATGACTTTCGCAAAATCTGCAGAATCTGCAGCATTACATGCATGCACTGATAACAACAACCTCGTCGGGACAAGAGCAGACGAATTTTTTGGCCCCTCGGGTCAGGTAAGTAGTTTACTTCAAGTATCGTACATGGTAGGTTTTATACATCTTTTTAGTAAGTAGATTACCTAGGGATGTTTTTTTTAAACAAATTTACGTTTCACAGCTCATGAGAGAGTTGACAAGATTAGTTTTTTTCTTTTAACCTCTGCAACTCTATAAATTATACACTTTTAAGACATCCATCGCTCTTATACTTTCATACGAGTCTTATAAACTCTACATTTTCAGGAATAGTAGATGATTTAGACATCATCCTTCTGAATCTAAAATTTTATTTTTCTTCCCATTTTTTACCTTACATACCATTTCGTTTGCATTTTTGAACTCATGGATAGCCACTGAAACTCTTCCGGATGGGCTGTAATGAACTCGATTTCATAAAATCTGCAGTAACTTCTAAAAATCGTTAAGCTTCTTAAGATCAAAGAGCAGAATTTCTTTTTTACGCTTATGAGTAGTTCAGTCACTTGCAACATTTTAGTAGTGGTTTGTTGCAAAATATTCCATTCGAAGCTATTAACAAATACACATGAGCAAAAGACCGATTCCCTCGTAACGTATCTCCCAGATCGTGTACCCACCTTGTATTGAAATGTAAATACNAAAAAACAATTTTGCACAATTTTTCTGAGATAAAATTTGTTGGCGAGAGGGTTGAGTGACCGGCGGCAGGGATTACAGTTTTAATAGTTGAGTAATGAAAGATGGGGTGAGGGGCTGTTAGTCGATGTTAGAATCAGTAAATAAAAAAAAATGAAACGAAAAAGAAAGGTACAGCTGTAGTGAAAGTACTCCTAAAAATAGTTGCCTTTCGCCTCGTTTTTGCTTCTTTGGAGGGAATAAAAAAAAATTTATAACATATGGAATTTTGCACGTATCGTCAATTAAAAAAATTAAGTTGTTAGGTTGAAAACAGTAAGGAAATACTGTATACAATGCATTGAATTAAAAAATTTGTGATCTCATGGCAGACCTCTTAATGCATATGATAGCCAATTAATCTCAACATGCCACGTGATGAACATCTATATACGTTTATAAAAACGTTATAGACGGTAATTTTGAGAATCTGCATTTTTGTTCTACCATCGTTTTATCCTTTCGAAATCAGTAAACTGTCCACTATTTTCTTCGAAACATTATCTATTTAAAATTTCTTTGTGTTAGTTACAGCGACGCTACCTCAACTGATAACACACGAAACGCGAACTAAGTTTTAAAAAATTATCAGACATAGGTATCGAACGTATCTACACTCGATGCTTGAACGCACTTTAATGAACAAAAGCATTAACAGAACAAGTTAAACAAAATCATGAAAAAGGAGGATAAGATGACTTACGTCGATAACAGTTGTACGTAGCTTTTTTTCCTTATACGTGTTCATTGTCTTGTATGAAGAACATCAGAATTTCCATTACATTAGATATTCTGAGAAACTCGTTATACACAATTTGTCATTGTAGTGGAGTTAATTACTAAATGACGATTGAGTTTCAACGAAGATCTAAAATATAAAATATTAGAAGCAATACAATGACGGGAAGCAAGTGACAACGGATAAGGTTTTTACTTCATGTGTATGAAAGTGAAGAAAAGTTTGTGATTTTGATTAAAAATTAGTGCTCGTCGTGCTTAAATTGTGCGGCATACTGACAAATAAGAATAAAGTCATGGTAGCGAAACACCTGCGCACGTGTATTCTTCCACTTGACTAATGTATTTTAACTTATTCAAAAATGACGGCTCAGTGGTGGCATAAGTTGAAACAATTATCAGCCACGTTTACTAACATCAACGAATTGGAAACGGAAAACGAAATCAAGACTCATCTCACAAAAAAAGATTTGCTTTTGTCAGAACTAGGACATAACGGGAAGAAATTGCTACACTACATAGCAGAGATTAATAGTTCGTCGATAACGCAATTTTGTATTGATGCAGGCTGCGATGTGAATGAATTTAGTGACCTGGGAATAACACCAATTATCATTGCTATTGATCACAGTAATGTGGATACGGTAAAAACTCTTTTGGAAGCTGGAGCGATTCGCAATAGTTATTATTATAGAAAAAACTCAGGACCATTGTTCACTGCAATTGAAAAGGGACATCGTGATATGATTAAGTTGCTACTGAATGATGGTGTGGACGACCATACAAAGACTTCTGCATTTCTTCACTGTGTCAATTTACTCATATCAGGTAAAATATTATCCATGATACTAAGTAACAGTCTGTTTAATTTCTACAATCATGACCGACCTACTCGGTCAAATTTATTCCAATCAAGAATAAAACACGTGCTACTTGATTGTACAATTGGTGACTTATATTGCTAGATACAATAGATCCCGAACCTAACCCATGAGTACTTACTGATTAAAAAATAAAAAACTGTTGAATTGAGAATGGTGCATGTCATAATTATAAATAAGCTTAGCGACTTCTGTTGCTAGATAAAGTGGATACCCAACCTAACCTATAAATACTTAGTGATTAAAAAATAGAAAACTGTTAAATTGAAAATGGCGCATGTCATAGTTATAAGTAAGCTTCCTTTACTAAGTATTTTCTTAATAATTATTCCTTGATCTAGTAGATAATTGGGAAACAATATTTTAAAGTGATGCGTCACGTTTATATTACAATATGATTATCGGTACGTGGTATGCACCTACTATCTCATTCCCACTTAATTATAATAATTAGAATGCAGATGTAATTTACAAGAACATCACGGGAAACGTTAATAGGGTCTTTGATCATCACTTGAATTTTTAACCTCAAGATTTGAGTATAAATCATAAAAGCTCCATGGTTATTTTTTTTTAATTTAATAGCAAAATATAAATTAATCTATATTAATTTTTATTCTATACAAATAGAATAACCCTTTGCCAAAATAATACAGCATGGAAAATGTAAAATACTGAAGAATTGTATTCCTAATTTAAAGACAAAATTATTATTATTATTGTAAAATAATAACCATTATCATTTAACTATACTTAGTCACAAAAAAGTTTCAATGCTATTAGTACGATAGGTTTGGGTTCCGTTTTCTCTAACAAAAAAATGTTGAATATTTGGTTTACAAATTCGAACTAAAACATAATAAAATCCTTGGTAAACCCTCATTTTCCCTTGTTGAAAGTAATAATTCCATAAGCTTGAAAATCTACGTAAATATGTACTTTGACCATATATATTCTTAAATTTCCATTTTTAATTCCAAAAACCCAAACTTTTGAATGAAAGCCTGAAAATCTAAAAGATTGTACTACTTTTATAGTTCCATTTCATACTTTATGAACTCCTGGTTATAACAGTAAGCTACTTTATTATATTAAGTTTGGTATACCTGAGGCATTTTTTATCTGTCAGAAAATTTTTAAATGTGCCTTGTTAATTAATGAAAACTAGTCTTTATGATATTCAACGTCATTGACTACACGTATATTGACAAATATCTTCGATAGATAATATAAATTGCCTCGAGTGTGCACACTTGATGGACATTAAATCTTGTTTTTGAATACGTATACAAGTTATATTCTATTGGATGGTTCAATAAGTCGACGGTATTCATTGGAGGATTGGCAAATTCGAGAACAAGAATAGATGTCCGTCAACTGTATGTACAACTGTCAAAGTATACCCAAAATCCTTTGTATCTTTTGAAACAGTATTAAATTACAGTAGGTCTCTATTATATCACAGATAGTTAGAGGTTATATTCATATTGCGTAACTTATAGGTTATAATAGTGTTATTGAATTTATTAAAATATTGCTTCAAAAAATGTAAATGGTATGAGACGTACTTGCGATGTTTCTAAATTTTTAACCATAACTTTATAACGGCAGATTATTAGAGTATAGTTTTTACTCACGACTAATGTATGAGAGTGCCTTATTTCATTTTATATATTAGAAAAAAATACAAATCCTAAAGTTTCCTTCAAATTTGTGACTCAAACGTCTGACACTGGTCTTTTACGTACCAGGTTACTCATCGCTTGTCACTCCAAATACAAATATCAAAAAATTTTTTTACTTTTCAGGGAAGTCCAACAATGGCCTCTACGAAATCATGGAATTACTCATCAAGGCTGGAGCAAACATTAATGCGGAAGATGATAATGGAAACACTCCTCTCCACTTAGCTGTTGGCGCGGGTTGCGATGACGCAATCGAGTTCTTGTTAAAAGCAAATGCCCAAGTCAATGTTGAAAATGTTTACAAACGCATACCACTGCAAAATTTTCAACTCTCGGAAATGATGCGCGTTGGCCCTGTCGAGCGCCTGATTGAGGTTGGAAGTAAAATTGAGGGAGCCGACATTTTTGGGAACACTGCGTTGCACTACGCTGTTGCGTCGATGTCGTTAAACGCAGTGAAATTCTTACTTAGCAAAGGTGCATCAGTCAATGTTGTAAATCGCATGGATTTTGATCCTCTCAGCTACAGTTTTTTCACGAGGGTTTGCTTCAACTCAAACGAGCGTATTCGAGGGGACATAGTGGTAATACGCCTTTTTTTAATCACATTGGTCTTTTTTTATTTTGAAATGCCTTATTTAATTATATAATTCTGTTTCAGAGTATCTATTTACAATTTTTGGAACTAAAAAAACTAATCTGGATAAGAAAAGTGTTCTTCCTATACTGTAAATCCAGTTTTGACGACTATAGAATCATAAAATAAAATTGGAGTGTGAATATAAGAGCGAAATCTTTATTGATTTGCTGCACTTAATCGAAACTTTAAATGCAGTCTATCTTTATCTCCAGAGCTATTGCAAATTCCACGGTTTTACATGCCACTTTATCCCTTATTCTCTTTGCAAACGCCAACAACGGCTATTCATATTTTACCCAATAAACGAAAGACCATATTTCTAATTTCGTTGTTTGACTTTTTATTGGAGACTAAGGTTGCAGTGTATTAAACGGTGGCATTAGCAATGGTCCTGGACATATTAGCTTCGAAATATCAATCACATCTATCTCAAAAACAAAGTGTACCTTTATCATCAAGTTTTGGTTTTGTTTGTTATAAGGTTCTTGTTATCATTGGAAACAAAAGTAGAAGAAACAAAGTTTTTGTAGTATTTTAATTATCATAAGACATAATATCAACTGTTGATTTGTTCGTTTAATGTACCGATAGTAAATTATAATGCACAAATTTCAGCTTGACGAATACATAATATGTATCATAACGCTATTGGATAACAAACTAGACCTGAACCGTATGAACAAAAATGGTTGGACGCCGTTGTACGTCGCTCTGCAAAATGGTCACGATAGCAAAATCATATCTTTATTGTTGGATCGCGGAGCTACGTTTGATTATGACAACAGCATAGTACAGACAACCATTAGAGGAAACAGAAACCAAAAAACTTCAAGGATACTACTGAGACACATGGCTATGCATAATCCGCAAAAACGTTTGAATTTCGATAAATCAGGTATAGGACAAGAACTGCAAGACTTTTATTTAAATTGCCTTGATGAAATACGTAGACTGAATGAATGCTCGTCAACTGATAGTAGCCTGTTGGGCTCTAGCTTTTCCATGGATTCGTGTAAAACAGAAGCAGAGTTTAAAAATCGCAAGACAGTGAACTTTTCGGTACTCTTTTTACCATACTTATAAAATTTCAATGATAATGTTTCAAGTATATATCTTCCTTCAATCGAATAGTTTGACAAAATCAATAAATTTTTTAACTCTTACATTGATATACATACATGCGTTTTCAATTGCAAAAAAAAATTTTCAGTTCTGGAACACATTAGAAGAGCTAATAAACAAGTTCTACATCGACGAAAACTCTATGCAACAAAAAATAATAAAGCACCTTACAATGACGGACACTCTACCGGAACTGTACGACCACCAAGGAAATAATGTGTTGCACTACTTGACGAGAATAAAAAATTCTTTCATCATAAAAATTTGTATTGTATTCGAATGCAACGTTAATACATTAAATAACGAAAAAAATCCACCGCTTGCTATAGCAGTTGAACGCAATAATTTAGAAGTGGCAAAAGCTCTACTGGATGGTGGAGCTATTCACGACATAGGTTTTTTTAACAACTACAAGGGACCATTACACTTGGCTGTCGAAAAGGGCCACTTAGAGATGGTAAAACTTCTCATAGATCACCATGTAAATGTCAATGCTTTCGACAGATCATTTCGAACTCCGTTGCACGTTGTATGTTCTCTAGGTAAGAAAAAAAAATTTTTCAATACCTTACCATACAATACACTCTTTATAAACTAAAAGCAATGACATAATTTACAACGAAACTCTATTTTTCAGGGACTCTAAAGAACGCCAATTACATCGAGATCGTCAAAGAGCTAATTAAAGCTGGGGCAGACGTCAACGCAAAAGACCTATATGAAAACACACCTTTGCACCTGGTATCGAAAAATTGTTTAAACGATGTGATCGATTTGTTGTTGACCGCAGGTGCTGAAGTTAACAGTAAAAACAACAAGGACAATTCGCCACTTCATCTTGTGTCAAACAAGCAAGTCAGTACGAATACACTTCAACGACTAGTCAAAGCTGGAAGTGAAACAAATGTAGCGAATTGTTACGGAAAAACCCCCTTGCACCAACTGGCCACCCACCTTTCGCCAAAGATGCTGGAAATTTTGCTCAAAAACGGCGCATTGGCTAATATTTATGACTATCATGACTTGGACGCTATGTCTTACGTGATAGATAACTGCAAGTACAACATGCCGAAAAAAAAACTGGGCGAGTCTCTGAATGCCATAAGACTCCTCATAGACAACGGATCGGATATCAACCGCATGAACAAACGTGGCTTTTCGACGCTGTACTTGGCTCTTTTCAACAATTGCCACTCCAAAATTGTGTCTTTCCTGCTGAGGTGTGGGTCGATCATTGACTTTGACAGCATAATGATCCAAAAAACGATAAAACAAAAAGAGATTTCGGAGTCTTCGCGTTTGTTAATAAAACATGCGGCTCTGTATGACGTGCAGTGTCGTAAAGACATGCTGCTGAATTTCAGTTTGGACAAGTTGAACAAGCAACAGCAGGAATTATACGCTCATTGTAAAAAAGAACTACTTTTCATGAAAATGATGATAATCGAGGGAACGGTGTCGTTATTTGACTTTCTTACGGATAAAGACGTCAGCGCTTACGTGCAGGACGAAAATATTTTAAAAGTTTTTAATATCAATCACATCACTCTATCTTTTCCAAATTACTCTGAAATGCTGAGTGACCGTTTCTCCAGTGAACAATTGAAACTGGAAAATTCACAAAAAAAATAAATTCGTTGCTTATAAAAATTTTTTTTTTGTTCGGATTTTGTTATCAATTTCATATTTTATTTTAAAACCTAATGTTAGTTTACAACAAAAATAAGTTCTACGCTCATATTTTGGCTCAACTCTGATGACAAAAGAATATCTAAAATTCTATCTTATTCTATTAATAAAAACAAATAAATCAGCTTTGTCTACGTTAACTTGTTTTAATAAAAATTGTAAAACTTTCCTTCTCTTAATTACTTGCCGTAATCATTTGTTTACTTTTTTTTAAATTTATTTTCTTCAATTGTTTAATATGAGTTTTTAATTTTCTTCACATTCAAATAGATGGGTATGCAAAATCAATTCATTTTTCAACTAAATTGACGAGTTCGCAATAATTTTTCAACACACCTATTGCTTCATCTGATCAATCAGATGCTCTCGTATGCCCACCTTCTCATTAAAAAAGTCGAAAAAATTTATAGTTAACATTTTAAAAAATTGTCATTACTTTTTAGTTCATTGAAATTTTTTTATTGGCATTTCGCAAAGACCAAAGCATCAAAATAAAATTCTCATTTAAAATTCGAATAAAAATTAAACCAACACGTGGCGCAGATACATTTTAATTTTCTGTTCAAATAATATAAGATTGGTAATGATTTTTCATAATTTATTCGAGTTTTATAGTTAAGAGATTTTTGTTTTAGACTATAATAAGGAGAATGTGACTAAAAAATAACATATACTTTGTTCATAAATTTTTTTCAAGCATATTTAAAACAAATGATGTATCAAATAAGTTTTATCGTTTAAAATCAATTAAAAGTGGACAGATATCTAATGAATTAAACACTGACCATACATAAATTAATGGTTGACGTAAAATAATTATACAACCTTGAAGCATATAATAATATTTGAACTATTTATATTAATATTGTAGTGTGCAATATTCACATAAAAGTTTTAAAAACTAGCAATGTTCCTCAGAACAACAGCACATTTATCATGCAAATCGGTTGCAACGAGAATCAAGTACATGAAAAAAAAATTATGTACTTATAAATGCAAATGAAATCAACGAATAAAAACACTGAGCAACCTAATTTCTCGGATCAAAGAAAATTTCTTCACCCTCATTCCGTTAAATATTTTCTTTTAGTTGAAGAAATGTAAGTATATTAAAAATAATATTTTATTTAATTAACTTTTTTTTCATTACTTTTTTTTTCATGTTTAATTTCATTACTTTTTTTTTAATTCNTTCGCGAATTACTATGTTACAAATTAAAAAAATTTTAGATAAAATTTAGAATACCTACCTGTATATGCGTATAAACATAACCATCGGGATTGACACTAGGGAAGATATACCACTCGTATGATGCAGCGAGTTGGCGAATGTCTGGTCTTTCGCTCGTCAAGAGCTCATTTATTAGGTACGTGGATGTTGAATGCGATAGCCATTCTCGGGCGTGGATTCCTCCCTCGATGAAAACGGCCTTTTTATTTTCACTAAATTTTAGATGGACGCCTTTGATGAGACGGTTTTCCGTGGAAACACCAGCAACGATAACTTGTACATTTTTAGGGAATTTTTTTTGCAATCCATCCAACCAATCATAAATTTCGTCCAGAGTATGGAATCTCGTCCACCCAAATGTCTTCTGCATCCAAAATAGTGAGTAATATAGTGAGTAGGGGAGCTATTAAAAAATGTAATTTATTTTAGCATATGTTACAAATCATGTGGGTAAGATGTGAGAATTTTTTTTTTTTTTACAGTACCCTATGTACTTTTGGTTTCAAATCAAGTTTCTCTGTATCGTTCAAGAATCGCTCAACATCCGGCACCTTTACTTGATATTGTAGACTATTAACCCTCATTAACTTCGTGAATGCTTCATTCTCATTTTGATGAACCAACAAATCAACTGTTTCGTTCACTCTTTTAGGATGCGACCAAAATGAAATCTGTCAGATATTAAAATGAGAAAATTATTTTATTCAAATCTTAAAACTATCATAAACGTTAAGAGTATATTTTCTACTTACATTTTCTAATTTTCCATCTAATTCAAATAAGACGTCCAGTTGCTTACTCGTCCTAGGTATGATTCGGTACACCGATGCAGAATTTTTACATGATACATCTTTAACTCCGATAAAAATGACTATGAAGCATAGGCTTGTAAAAACGGGTGATAACATTTTGACTGCACAAATAAAAACTTTTGGATTAGTTCACAAAATATTTATCGCTTAATTCAGGTGACAACTATAAACAAATTACATATTTGTGCACTTTTTGAGTCTTGGGAGTTCGTGGATTAGTATTTATTGAAGATTTCTGCGTAAAAACAAAACTGAATGTTGATTATTTAAATTGAAATTAAAGTTTATAATAGAAGTGTATAAACAATGTCATTACAATATTTTGTTTTGGTATCCTAGACGGTGTTCTTTTCTTTGTTTTACTGAAGGTAGTAACTTTTTGTGTTACTTTTTTTGCCTTATTTTTATGAAGATTCACCTTTATTAATAATTAGTTATTAATAACTAACTAAATAAAAAATAATTAATGATTATCTACTACAGTGACAATCAAATTGATTGATTAATAATAATTATTTATTACTACTAAATTCTTATAATTATTATCATCTTTGAAACCAATGTCTCTCTATAGTGAACAAAATAAAGTATTACCAATTTATTATTTTTATTTTCTTCCGTATCTTCTTCAAACTGTCCGTAAGTACTCGTTTCTAGTTCTTCACTTCCAATTTTAACTTCTTTCCAATTTAGCATCTAGAAATAAATTTGTTTTTATTCAAGGCCAAGTAAATTTTTTAGATAAAATTTTAATAATTATTCATAACAACAACATTTTATTACCCCATCGTGATCGTTACTGTCAGTACCGATGTACATCTCTCCCACTGACCTTAAAAACGAAAACCATCGTTGTGTAAGANATAAATTTGTTTTTATTCAAGGCCAAGTAAATTTTTTAGATAAAATTTTAATAATTATTCATAACAACAACATTTTATTACCCCATCGTGATCGTTACTGTCAGTACCGATGTACATCTCTCCCACTGACCTTAAAAACGAAAACCATCGTTGTGTAAGATAGCGTATTATATGACTTTAAAAAGGATTTTAATTTCAAATAAACTCTAAACTTCTTGCAAAATATTTGAACTTTAAGTCATAAACGATCGGTAAAGATAAAATAAGAAATATGAATTTTGTACGTACGATGAAACAAACGTGTCGCTGTTTCGATAATTTTCCATGGGTTCTCTAATGTCTACGAAAAATAATTAAAAATTTCAAGGTAAATATTATAAAATCACTGTTTAGTAATAGAAAGGTATAATTAAAGTTCTTAAATTCTGCTATGCAAACAGTAATGAATAATAATACAATGAAACTATCAATTACAGTACTTTATAAGCAAAAACATTGAAATCCGTAAGATAAGTTTAAAATATTAGACTTTATGACTTTAAAAAATAAAAAAATTTCCAAGCTATTGGTTCTTACATACATTCTACCAATGTAATGAAAATGTCCGTGTTATCAACACTAAAAGAACACCTCAACAATTACTTCCATTATTTCTCAAGTAACAAGATACCAATACAAGACTAGCTGACAATGTATGTCCACAACTTTTTCACTAAATCACACTGCTACAAACACTACCATCTACATATGTATCCATACCACCAACACATAGATCTAACGTCTACAGCACCAAAACAACAGTTACTTGAAAGTAGCACTTACCAAAATCTGGTACAGTGGTCAAATCGATTTTGAAGCGTCGTTGGACGTCAGCAGCGATCGGCGTCTCGCAGATTTCGAGTCCTGACAGGTGCTGCTGCAGCCACCCACACCTTTTGCGCTTGTTGTCAAAACGAGGCCCAGCACTGCCGGTCATGGGTGTTGGCGTCAACGTGAAAGATCTCAACTGGCTGTGGGTTACTGGAGTAGTCAGCGGATCGTTGTTTTTTTGCATACTTGATGGGTCTTTTACCACGGATGGGAACTCCGAATGTGTTTATGGAAGATACGGAAGACGTGGGTTGGTTTTGTTGTATTTGTTACTGAGTACAAGAGACAATGCGACGATTCGACTTGTTATGGATGAGCACCATGAAACAAACTTTCTAGCTGGTTGTGTGTGTCCATGTGTATGTACGTGTTTGTATTTATCTATAAGCTCAAGAAATACAATAGATAACATTTGCTAGTCGTTGTAGACTATTCTTCGTTGTATAACTATTTTGGAAAATCAACTTTCGTTTGTAAGTACATCAGGTTTTTGTAAATAAACTGTGTACATGTGAGTTTTTAGAAGGCGTTTGAATGTAACAATTGTATTGCTGTATGAACACAAAAATTTTTACTTGATTTGAAAAAAGAAGTTCATTGAAATATGATGTTTAAACAAAAACAAAAATAAAGTGCATGATTTTAGTATCAACTCTATGAGTTAGAATCATCTTATGTACATTTAACTGGAAGCTTTTTAAATATTCATAAAAATATTTAACTTTTATCATTCAAAGTTTTACTGATGGAATTACCAATCGCAGAAGAACCAGAGCAGTTTTGTAGACGTTGCCGCTTGCTAATGTTTGGCGAGATGGGATCCGTCAAGGGTCGTTTGTTTTTGACGGGCAGAGGTAGATACTTACGTATGGGTTTGGCTATAAAAACCGTTTGTTGGCGCAGCTCTTGAATTAATTTTTCTTCCTCACGCTTCTGCTCTTCCAGATCCTGTTGAAAAAAAACAAACATAAAATTAATAAAAATCTTTTCTATTGTCCATTATTTATTTATAGTTGTATTTATTATTTTATGATATTTATTTTTTTTTGTGTAACTAATAGGGTGTAATTATAATATATTTATGAAAATAATAATAATATACTTGTTGCTTCAATGCCTCCAGTTGCTTGTCTTTTTGATGTCTCATTTCTCGACGAAACTGTTTGAGAGCAGCTCTAGCTTTGGTCTGCAATTTCGGTGAATACGGGTATTTCGGTATTTTTGTAGAACTTAATTGACTTTCACCATTGGCTTGGCATTCCCTGATCTATAATAAAACACCATATAGATTACATCCTTATAAAGTATTTCTTAGTGGGATTCAGTTGTTTTTATTTAAAAGATTGTTTTCATATAAATACTACAAAAAATACAAACAGTTCTATGAATTACGAAAAAAAAAATTCCA